CAGCATAAATATTAGCGCATTATTTTTGCATAAAGCAACAGCAACAATGTGTGTGCGGCGACAGTGGAGTGCTTTGAATAGGAGTGACACAAAAAGAGCACAGCACCTCTTGGATCTACTTTTCAAGTCATATAGTACTGGGTCTTGGAAATTTTTCCGAACTTCAATAGAAATTCCAAGCCAAGAACACGACGAAGCCAAATGCATACTGAACTCGAAGGCAGAGGAGTTCTTCGGCTGAATGGTAATCTTCTAGGTTTATTTATGTTACACATAAGTCATAAAAAAAAGTGTTTTCGAGGTTCTGCGCTTGAATTCAAGTTGACTCGAGTCCGCCAGAAGTCTAGCAGGTCATTGGTGATCTCCAAAATAAGAGCTATGTATATACAATTTCTAATGCTGGATTTCCACTAGGCGTTAAATGGCAAAAATGACAAATGATGAAGTCGGGCATTAAAAATAATCGTGTCTTTTAATCAGCTACTGCAGCTGGGATCCAAGACGATATTAGCCTAACCGCATGGCCAGGTAGAAACTCCTTTGATGGCCAGCGGTCAAGTACCCATCAAAAGGAACTTTGCAACTTTTTCCATCAGAGTTTCCGGCCACCTCTGCCTGTGCAAACTAGGAGCTTAGCTGTCTAGAACCAGTAAAAAGGTTACATCGGGTAGTTTTATATATCCTCCCTGTAAGAAGATACGACCTCAAGAGTAACCTGTCTAGCTAATTCTTCATCCAAATAGTTAGCTGCAATACAATTGTTCCCTGGAACTCTAATCTGTCTAATTTGGAAGTAATCCGAGACGGCCGCGTCACAATTACCGAAGCCTTAACTTAAGAGTTCCTTGACAGAACACAAATCCTTTAACTTCCACTCTCCAATTCACTCTTTATAGCGGTATGTGTAGAGAGGAGCATACAATCGAAGCCTATGGGGAATACATATATTTGAACAGATTAAAGGGCCGACAGAATGAACACAAGCCGGTGTTCTTTTTAATCATTGAATCACTTGTACATTTGTTGTGCCCGACTTGAAAAATTTTCTACTTTTCCTGTTTTTTTTCTTAGATATATCCTTCTTCAATCATTCACTGCCACACCACTGCACTAACGGCTGCTTTGAAATGAAAATGAAAATTTGCATTTTTAATTTTGCCGCAAACGAAATGTGCTGGAAATTTTAAATACTCAACAAAATTGTCGCAACTTTGGATGGCAAGCAAATAATAGCCGAAAAAAAAAGAAAATTAATTTGACAGCTGCATGTGGACCAGAATGCCGAGCAGAAAGTGTGATAAAAATATTAACGATGATAAACAGCAACCAGCAGCTAAATCAGCAATGCAACCGTCGAAGTGAATTCTGCAAGATAACTTTTTTTTGCGCTACAAAACACTTTTTTGCGTTAGTTGTTTTTGATAAAATGCGGGCAAAAAGAGAAATTGTGACAAATGCAATTCATATCGCTTGTAATGTATTAGTATTTGCATTTTGCGGTTTATGCACTGTTGCATGCAACTGATTGCAGTACCTTAATGTTGGCAATGCTGTGCAACATGTCAATGTAAATGCAAGTAATCATATGCGCGTACTTACATGTATGTATGTACACATATTCAGACAAGCATAGACACGAAAACTTATTCCACTTCATTGATACACCGACCCGCGCCCCCAACCTTCGCCCCATCGCCGACGACCTCATTGCATATTTTTGTGTTTGATTGCTCTGCCACACAATAAATATTTGTTTTATGCTTTTTGATTTCGCCAAATCAACCGCGGCAAATACCCGCATTCATTTTCAATTCATAAATGCTACAAAAGCTACAACAAAACTACATACATACAACTCCAATAAGGCAACAACACAAAAATGCTTATACAAATTTGTCGATGTTGCACAAAGTGCTGCGATAAGCGGCTGTGAGCACAAACAAATCTAAATACATACATATGTGTGCCTGCATCACATGTACGTACATACATATGTATGTATGTATGTATGTGTTTGCAACATTCAAATGCAATTTAGTTCCGAATTTAATTAACAACCGTTGTGGCATGTAAATGATAAAATGCAATGACCAGCTTTGTGGCATGCAACGGGGTTTCATGCATATTTGGCTGATTTCAGGTGGTCTAAAGTATTAAATTTTGTACATATGTATGTATATAACCCGCAGGTCATCTGTTGCATAATTTGTTTCACCATCATTTCAATACATATTATTAAATGTTGCATTCAAAAGCGATACGAACTAATTGAACCGAGCTGATATGAGACATAGCGGAAGTGAGTAATAATTTTTCAACACTAATTTGTTTTAATGCATGAATGTAGATATACTAGCGTGGACCGAAAATCCGCTTTTTATTACCTCCCTTTTATTAGGTAGGGATGTAACTATGTAATATTGATGCGCCTAAAAGATGTAGCGATTTCTAAGTATTCTCAAGTTACATACCGATTTATTGCCGTGGTGACCAATCGGCAACATCATTCCTTTCATGTCAATTTTGGAATAAATAAGTTATCAAAAATGACCAAACTTATATATTTCGCGTCAATAATATTATCCAAAAGCGTCTAATTTACACCAAAGACAGGATTGAAAAAATTTGTAGGAAGACCCATAGCGAATGAGCGAAGAATGAATTCCTTATCGAAGTCCAATTTTGTATACAAAATATAAATGAAGCATCTATTAAAAAGAATCAAATTATTACAAATATCGCCCGAAGCGATAAGAAAACGACTCATTCAGGTAACAAAAAAAAAAACGACTCGCCCAGTCGAGTTGACTTCGGCGATTAGAGCGATACGAAATCGATACGATGGCGATATTACCGGCAACAAATTTGTTTCCGAGGGTGACACGTTTTCTTTTTTCCGGCAACCAAAAATTTTTTGGTGGGTATATTTATATATGTGTGTGTGTCCGGGCACTCGCATTAAAGTCTTCAGCTGTCTCTTTCGGAAACGGGCCTTTGCAATTCGAGCAGAACTTGGTGAAAGGTATGCCGATGCTTTTTCATTCCTAATGGGTGCTGGCTTGCTCTACTTTTTGCTTCTTACTCCTCCTCCATTGTAAACATTTGCGCCTAGAAACACTTGCACATTCCATCTTGATCGGTCTGTAAAGGCAGTCATGCCTTCCAATCGCTGGCTCTAGTGGTAGTTAATGGAAAGAGCGGAACGTTCAGAGCTTTAGTTGATCAGGATCGCATTATATCCCTTGCACCAACATCAGGTGACTTCTGAATTCCCCTACCATCCTTAGCTTCAATACCCGCCTATTGCCTGGTATCATATTGGCTACATATATGATGTACGTAAGATTACCGAGGCTTTCCTTGCGTGCTCTTCAGTATTCAATCTCAAGTTAATTTTGTGGTCCAGAGCAGCGCCAATATATTTTAATTTTGTGAAAGATGTAGTTCCAGCTGTGAATGTATTCAAGAGAGGTCACGACGCTGTAACAGAGGAAGAGTAGGGTCTCCTCTGCGATGGAAGACCAGGTGGGGAAGGACATGGCACCACACAAGGTTCAAACTCTAAGACCAAGGAATCATAATTTTGCTTAAAACCAAATGAAATTGACCCGATACAAGTATTGTTATATATTCGGTATAAGCCCTGTTTCCCTGTCGACCTAGGTTTATGCTTGGACTCGAAGACGTATGGACACAAATGCAAAAAGTAGAAGCTTTGACATACAGCTCAAGACTGGAAACTTCAGGTTACTTTAAGCTACCAGGACATGTTATTTTTAATTGAAATTTTGACAATAATGCGGCATAGATATTGCTGGGAAATAAATCTGCCTGATCAGGGGATAAACATATCTACTGAGGCTGGCATACATTAAGGCTTTACATTCGCATACCACTCGAAGACTTTAAAATGCGTGCGTCACAACCCCAGAACAAAAGATATTAAAAGCAATCGTAGAACTAATGAGCTTGTCAAGCACGGCGTTCTCCTATAAACCAAACTAGCTACGGACATATCAATTCTTCGACACCGACGAGGCGTGCTTTAAATCGAAGTTTGACCACAAGTTATCTCACATGTAAATGTACAGTTTTCGGTGTTATTTAGAATAATCGATACATAGGTTTTTGCATTCATACATGGGTAACAGATAAATAGAAAATATAACGACGTTCACGAACCAGTGAAGCATAGCATTTCAATGTGTTCCTTGCAATGCATTTATTTACGCGCATTTTAATTCATCTGTGCCTCTCCCAACACACACTAGTCCATCGTGAAAATGCGCCGGCAAAAGTCGAAAAATATATGTGCCTTCTTGCTCACAATCTGCTTCCAGTACTGTCCACTGCCGCTGTTGGCCATACCAATCGAAGCCAGCAGTAGCATATAGCACGCCAGCGAGAGCGGATATTTATTACGTCCTAGCCAACTGGATGCGCGTTTTTCCTCCGGCTCGTCATCGTCTGGGAAACGGCTGCCATAG